AGGACTAATATCCAGAATCTACAAGGAACTCAAACAAATCAGCAGGAAAAAAACAAATAATCTCATTAAAAAGTGGGCAAATGACATGAATAGATGTTTCTCAAAAGAAGATATACAAATGCTCAACAAACATGAAAAAAGGCTCAACATCACTAATCATCAGGGAAATGTAAATCAAAACCACAATAAAATGCCATCTTACCCCAGGCAGAATGGCCAATATTAAAAAGTAAAGGCTGGGCACGGTTGCTCATGCTTGTAAGCCCAGCACTTTGGGAGGCCGAGGTGGGCGGATCACCTGAGGTTGGGAGTTCGAGACCAGCCTGGCCAACATAGTGAAACCCCATCTCTACTAGAAATACAAAAATTAGCCAGGCTTGGTGGTGCGCACCTGTAATCCCAGCTACATAGGAGGCTGAGGCATGAGAATCGCTTGAACCAAGGAGGTAGAGGTTACAGTGAGCTGAGATGGTGCCACTGCACTCCAGCCTGGGCGGCAAGAGCGAAACTCCATCTCAAAAGTAAATAAATAAATTAAATTAAGTAAATAAAATTTAATAGATGTTGGTGTGTATGTGGTAAAAAGGTAACACTGCTGGGGGAATGTAAATTAGTACAACCTTTACGGAAAGCAGTATGGAGATTCCTTAAAGAACTAAAAGTAGATCTACCATTTGATCCAGCAATCCCACTACTGTGTATCTACCCAAAGGAAAAGAAGTAATTATATCAAAAAGACATCTACACGCATATATTTGTTACAGCACAATTCGCAAATGCAAAGACATGGAACAAAACTAAGTGCCCATCAACTGATACATGGATAAAGAAAATGTGATATATATACACCATGGAATACTACTCAGCTATAAAAAAGAACAAAATAATGTTTTTTGCAGCAACCTGGATGGAACTGGAGAACATTATTCTAAGTGAAGTAACTCAGGAATGGAAAACCAAATATCGCATGTTCTGACTTTTTTTTTTTTTTTGGAGACGGAGTCTCACTCTCTAGCCCAGGCATGATTGTAGTGGCACGATCTCGGCTTACTGCAACCTCTGCCTCCTGGGTTCAAGCGATTCTCCCAAGTTCAAGCGATCCTCCACCTCAGTCTCCCAAATAGCTGGGAGTACAAGTGCGCACCACCATGCCCAGCTAAGTTTTGTATTTTTAGTACAGACAGGGTTTCGCCATGTTGGCCAAGCTGGTCTCGAACTCCTGACCTCTGGTGATCCATCTGCCTTGGCCTCCCAAAATGCTGGGATTACAGGCATGAGCCACCATGCCTGGTCACATGTCCTCATAAGTGGGAGCTAACCTATGGGTACACAAAGGCATATAGACTGGTATAATGGACATTGGAGACTCAGAATGGGGGAGGATGGTGGGGAGATATTTAAAAACTACATATTGGGAAGAATGTATGCTACTCAGGTGATGGGTGCACTAAAATTTCAGACTTGGCCATTATGCAATTCATCCATGTAACCCGAAACCACTAGAACCCCTAAAGCTATTGAAAGAGAAATGAAAAAATTTCTCATCACCATTAATGGAACAAACAAATAACGTATGCCCCCTGGTACGATGTACTGACAATCCAACACTCTGGTGGTGTTCTTGCAAAAAATATTTCACCTGAATCTAATCCTGAGGGAACAATCAAACAAATACACTTTGAAAGATGTTCTGCAAAACCGGCCTGAACTCTTAAAAGTGCCAATGTCCAGCAAGACCAAAACAAAAGACTCCAAATTTAAACATGCTAAAGAAGCGTGATGGCTAAATGCATTGTGTGATCCTTAATTCAATCCTGAATCAAAAGAAAAAAAAAACAGCTATAAATAATATTATTAAGAGACTTGGTGAAATTTGAATATGGGCTACATGTTAGATAATAATATGGGGCCAATGCTAAATTTCCTAAGTATGGTCATTGTACTGTGGTTATGGAAGAGAATGTACTTGTTCTTTGGAGATATGTGCTGAAGGGCTAAATTGTTGCTATATCTACAAGAAACTCTCAATGTTTCAGCAAAAAGAAACAAGCAAATAAATAAACTTGTGTGTTTGTATATCAAAATAGAGAGATAAAACAAAAGTGGTGAAATGTTAACAATAGAACCACAGGTGAAGGGTAAACAGATGCTCATTGTTCTATTCTTGCAGCTTTTATGTAGGTTTGATATTTTTCCAAACACAAACTTGGACACTATAAATAATAAGTAATAAAAACAAAAAGACTTTTCCTAGTCACGTTTTCTGTTAAATCTTCCATGACATACACCTACTGCCCCTGGCCCCCCAACGTTCACCTAAAACAATGAATCATACCCTCTCTTCTAGACTCTTCCAAGGTTATCTATCTCTCTGACCAAAGTATAAGCTCTTGGGAATCAGGTCCTGTATTGTGATGGATCTACACTGCTAAGATCGTACCTGACACAGATTGGATGCTCAGTTGATCCTCTTGTTAAATTAATCAAGCTGAGTCTTGAAGCTTGGATAGAATTCAGGAAGCAGAGAGGAGTCAGGCTTCTCAAGAGAGAGAAATGGCATGAGCAAAGATAAGGAAACAGGAATGTACATTTTGTATTTGCCAAAAGCATTTGCTTTGTTTGGTCAGAACTGAGGGTTTATATAGGTGAAAATGCCTAACACAGTATATAGATTCTTAATAAAAATCTGATGAATAAATGAATGAGATTTGAAAGGCAGGCTTAGATCAGATTGGAAAGGACTTTGACTACTGAATTGAGAAATCTGAACATTAACTAATTCTTAACATCCAGGGTGTTTTCCCATCGGTGGAAAGAGAGTGTGTTCTTGGGCAAGTCCATTGCACATTTTCTTCACTAAATAACAAGGAAAATTGCCTCCATCAGTGTGCTTAAAAAAAAAGAGGAAAAGTAGAGACAAGTGGGATCTGAAAGTGACCTGCTTCCAAACTCAAGGGGAGAAAATGTTTTCTATCCAGGAAAAGCTCCATAGTGGACTTTTAAAACATCCAACATCCCTCAGACTAATAGGTGTCACAGAATATGAAGAATAAATAAATGAATCTATTTAATATGGGTCATGCTTGTCTTTGAAAATAGTGTCTGTGGCCGGGTGCGGTGGCTCACGCCTGTAATCCCTGTACTTTGGGAGGCTGAGGCAGGTGGATCACCTGAGGTCGGGAGTTTGAGACCAGCCTGGCCAACATGGTGAAACCCCGTCTCTACTAGAAATACAAAAAATTAGCTGGGCATGGTGGCGCGAGCCTGTAATCCCAGCTACTCATGAGACGGAGGCAGGAGAATGGCTTGAACCTGGGAGGCGGAGGTTGTGGTGAGCCGAGATTGCACCACTGCACTCCAGCCTGGGCAACAAGAGCAAAACCCTGTCTCAAAAAAAAAAAAAGAAAAGAAAATAGTGTCTGAAATTATTTTGTTAATTTTTCTATAGTTTTAAAGTTTAAGAAGTGTATACTTATGAAATAACTAGACACCAATACTAGTTTAGGGCCTCCACATTACTACATAGATTACAAAGCTTCTCCCTTAGCCAGGTTGAGCTGTCCCCAACAGACAGTTTTCATATTTATTTAGTATTTGTGTTCTATTTTCTTCCAGATAGATTTGTGGGGACTGACAATTTAAGTAATGCAAATTAATTTTATTATGACAACTGAGAAAAAGAAATATGTGTTGTGTTTTGAGGTTATCGTTTCCTTGACCATCATAAGCAACCTGATATCTACTTCATCTTTGTTCATAATCACAGCACACCTTTGAACACATACCAAAATGATGATGGAATGAGAGCAAAGTATGTGAGTCAATTGGCTGCTCTGCGAAACAATTTGTTAGTTTTAGGCTATAGTTCTTTTCAATTTTCAGCCAAATTCTATAAAAATCTTAGCTGGAAGGAAATGCAAATGTCAGGTTGCACTTTAGAAATTAATTTTTGGGCTGGGTGCGGTGGCTCTTGCACGTAATCCGAGCACTTTGGGAGGCCGAGGTGGGAGGATCACCTGAGGTCAGGAGTTTGAGACCAGCCTGGCCAACATGGTGAAATCCTGTCTCTACTAAAAATACAAAAATTAGTCGGGTGTGGTGGCGCACTCTTGTAATCCCAGCTGCTTGGACGGCTGAGGCACAAGAATCACTTGAACTCAGGAGGCAGAGGCCTGGGCCTCTCCAGCCTGGATGACAGAGCAAGCCTGTCTCAATTTTTGGCCCAATTACCATGTAGCATTAACTTGTTCCAGAATGTGTAATATTACTGGGAAGACAGCATCGGTAGTGGTCAAAGTGATTTGTAGTTCACAAAGCATGTGGGCATTCTTTTTGAAGAAAGTAAACAAAATAATTTGAACTATTGTTTCAGTCATTTGAGCTGTATGTACAAACGGACTATGACACAGCTAAATTAGTCACAACTGTCCACCACAGGCCAACTTCAAGATAAAGGGTTATATATCAGTTAGCAATGCTCCCTTACAACCAGCCCTGATGTGTTTGTAAGCAGGAAAATAATTTTATGGTTGCAATCAACAAAGAAATATCAGGCCAGTCCACCAAGCCCAGCCAAATCCCATATCTCGCTCCAGTTTTATAGAGATTAGCGTATCACATGAGCCAAATGCTGTTCCCCAACTTAGAATGTGATGCTGCTATTTTGCAGGGAAAGTGTAAGCCCTGTTCTGCAACACTGATGAAATAGAAGTATTCATAAATACTGTGTTTAATGTGGTCCAATAATTGAAACATAAAATAGATATCTTGTAACAGAACATTTTTAAAAGTCAAGAAAGATAAGAATTAGGCCTTGGAAAATAAATGACTATGAAGAAAGATAAAAATAAAACAGACTGGGGTGTCTCTGAAGACCCTGCTTAGAGGCCTTGTCCTCCTTGCGGCAAGCGGCCATTGCCATGGAAACCAGAGCCGCAGGGCTATCTGTCCGAGATTGTGACGCCCAGATGGGAGTGGTGGGAGGAGACAGGAAGAGGGTGGTGACCGATGGCCGGTCCTCTTTCTCCAACACCTAGCCTGAGACTTCACGGCGCGGCTGCAATCCTGAACTAGCTTGGTAAGGGTTGTGCCCTGAACCAGCATAGAGAGACCTCGGACCGGCCGCCTTGATGACAGCATCCGCGTCCTTTTCATCATCTCAGGGTCTCCAGCAGCCCTCCACCTACAGCTTCTCCCAAATAACCAGCAGCTTGTTTCTCAGCAATGGTGTGGCTGCCAACAACAAAATCCTTCTGTCCAGCAATCGCATCACCGCCATTGTCAATGCCTCGGTGGAAGTGGTCAACGTGTTCTTTGAGGGCATTCAGTACGTAAAGGTGCCTGTTACCGATGCTCGTGACTCTCGTCTCTGCGACTTTTTTGACCCCATTGCTGATCTTATCCACAGCGTGGATATGAGGCAGGGCCGCACGCTGCTGCACTGCGTGGCTGGAGTGAGCCGTTCCGCCTCACTGTGCCTTGCGTACCTCATGAAATACCACTCCATGTCGCTGCTGGACGCCCATACATGGACCAAGTCGCGCCGCCCCATCATCCGGCCCAACACCGGCTTTTGGGAACAGCTCATCAATTACGAATTCAAGCTGTTTAGTAACAACACCGTGCGCATGATCAACTCGCCGGTAGGTGACATCCCTGACATCTATGAGAAGGACATACTTGCAGTGATATCAATGTAAGCCATCCCGGCCAGCCCTTGACATCTGCCATCGATCTGGCACCAAGACTGAACTTGAACACTGACATTTTGTTAGTAAAGAAAACTGGTTGGTGCCTTGTTAAAGGGCAAGAAAAAAAGGGAGGGGGTTGGAGTTTTGAATGTAGTAAGCCTTACCTTAATAGAATTAAATTCACGAAATGTAAGATGGTGAAAATGTTTTTTATCTTGTGAGGTCAAGCTATTGGGGCCTGGCTGGAACCAGGGTGCAGCAAGTGATGCTCAGCTCACATAGACCTGCCAGCAGCACCCAATACATGTGGCAGGCCTGGAATTCTGAGCCCTGTCGGAGGCCGACTAACTCAGGAGTGAATCCCCTAGAATCTCACCTGGTTCTTTCCAAACCAAAGTCAAAGCCTTAGACATCTTGGCATCCCTTGCACTTCTCCCGGTAAGTGCCAACCTAGTGGATAAGTGACTTTCTTTCAAGCTTTGCTCCAGGAGCTCTGGAGGAGGCTCAGGCTACTCTTGCCCGCCTTCAATCACAGTGGCCCATCTCTGGTTTTCTAGATTGAATTTATACATTTGTTAAAAAAAAAAAAAAAAAAAACTAGTTTTTTAAAAGACCATTCCACTCCATAAAGTTTAAAAATACTGTACTTTTTGAGTGCTATACTTGATGGCAAGGTCTCAAGGTGTCTTTGGTGATCTCCCACCAGCCTTTGTGAAAAGGGACATTAGTCCTTTTCCCAGGGTATATACTGAGAGAGAACAGGCCTAACACCAGGTCTCAGGGGTTCCTCTCATGAACCTTGGCTTAAGAGGCTGGAGCTGCTGGCCATGACCCAACCCTGTCACCTCTAACATCTCCTTTCATTGTGACCTGGGTCCTCTCAAAGCTTCACTTTCCTCACCTGTCAAAGCAACTCTCTGCCATAGAGTTGTTGTGAGGACTGGGTTCCTTAGCACAGTACCTGGCACATGAATGGTTTCATGCTTGGAGTAAAGGGCAATGATACTCTTTGACCCTGGTTTGAGGTCAGCACACTCATCCTCATAATGGCATTTCCCCCTTCTGTGCACAGTCCTTTGTTGTTTACAAAATGCTCTTCCAAAAAATCATCAAGTGTCTAAAAACAAATGGCTTAAGGTCCTTTTGGACCTTACCTTAGAATGGGCCTAGATTTGGGCATGGTGGCTGGCACCTGTAGTCCCAGCTATTCGGGAGGCTGAGGTAAGAGAAGCACTCGATCCCGGGAGGTGGAGGTTGCAGGGAGCCAAGATTGAACCACTGCACTCCAGCCTTGGGTGACAGAGTGAGACTCTGTCTCGAAAAAGAAAAAACAAAGGTGGGGGGGCCCCTAGATTTAGAGCTTTAACAGAGGTCCCATTGTGTTTAATCCATGTGCATCCAAGGGGTTGTGTAGAAGCACAAGTCCAGCTTCCCTGAAACACTTGTTTAGAGTCACTAACCGTTAGAGCCAGCACCCTGGTTTTGCTCATTACAAGGATGCATGAGGGCATTCGCTGAAGGGGTGAACAAGTGACCCCCACATGTAGGCCCTGGAATCCAGGATCATTCTAATTCCCTGGATACCTGGGCTCTGGCTTGTGTTCAGTTATTCTAATCCAGAGGTTTTTAGACCAAAAAAAAAAAGAGAGAGAGAGAGAGAGAGACAAAAGTACAACTGCTCCATTTGGAGAAGACCTGTGTGTCCAGAGCCCAGTGACATCCCAGTGTTTTTTTCTCTCCAAATCCATCAAGACACCACCACTGCCACAAAGGGAGTGCCTAGGGTACAGTATGGGGACAAGGGGGATAAAAAAGTGGATCTGCTCCAGGCAGATCCACTACTTTTACAGACGGAAAAACAGGCTCACAGAATGCAAGAGTTGGTGTGGCAGAGCCCCCACGAAACAGCCTTTCTGGCAGAGGCCCAGATGGAAAATTTCTTTTAAAGTATTTCTTAGAAGAAAATTATTTGGGGATGTGTGTGTGTGTTCATTTTTTAAAATATCTAAATTAACATACCACGAAATTACTCTTTGTGGATAAACAGTTCCATGAGTTTTAACACATGCATAGATTTAGGTAACCATCACCACAGTCCCAAAATTTCCCTCATGCTTCCCCTTTCGAATTAAACCATCAACCCACCCCAACCTCTGGCAAACACTGATCTGTTTTTCTTCCCTGTAGGTTTGTCTTATTTTTTTTTTTTTTTGAGACAGAGTCTTGCACTGTTGCCTGGGCTGGAGTGCAGTGGTGCAGTCTCGGTTCACTGCAACCTCCGCCTCCCGGGTTCAAGTGATTCTCCTGCCTCAGTCTCCAGAGTAGCTGGAATTACAGGCACCCGCCACCACGCCCAGCTAACTTTTTGTATTTTTAGTAGAGACAGGGTTTCACCATGTTGGCCAGGCTGGTCTCGAACTCCTGACCTCGTGATTCGCCTGCCTCGGCCTCATAAAGTGCTGTGATTACAGGGGTGACCCACCACGCCTGGCCAGATATGCCTTTAACTGAATGTCACATAAATGGAATCATACAGGATGTAACCTCTGGAGACTGGCTTCTTTCACTTAACATAGTGTCTTTGAGATTCACCCATGTTATACAGTTCATTGTATGCATGTACCACAGTTTGTTTTCCATCCACCTATTGAAGAATATTAGGGTTCCTAGGAACCTAATATTAGCTTCCTAGGAAATGCTGTAAGAAATACCAAAAGCTGAGTGGTTTAAAACGATAGAAATGTATCTTCTCTTATGATACAGTTATGGAGGCCAGAAGTCCTAAATCGAGATGTCAGCAGGGTTGTGCTCCTCTGAAACGTGTAGAGGAGAATCCTCCTTGAGTCTTTTGGTTTTTGTTTGTTTGTTTGTGTGTGTGCGCGTGCTTTTTTTTTTTTTTTGATACAGAGTCTTGCTCTGTGGCCCAGGCTGGAGTGCAGTGGCGTGATCTTGGTTCACTGCAACCTCTGCCTCCCAGGTTCAAGTGATTCTTCTGCCTCAGCCTCCCCAGTAGCTGAGATTACAGGCACGCACCATCATGCCCGGCTAATTTTTGTATTTTTAGTAGAGACTGGTTTTTACCATGTTGGCCAGGCTGGTTTCAAACTCCTGACCTCAGGTGATTCACCTGCCTCAGCCTCCCAAAATGCTGGGATTACAGGCGTGAGCCACCGCGCCTGGCCCTCCTTGACTCTTTCTAGTGTCTAGTGTTTGCTGACACTCCTTGGCATTCCTTAGTTTGTAGATGCATCACTCTAATCTCTGCCTCTGGAGTTACAGGGCTATCTCCCTTAGTGTGTCTTCATATCTGTCTTCCCTCTGTGCAAATCTATGTCCAAATCTTCTTTTTCTCATAAGGACACCAATCATATTAGATTAGGGACCCACTCTACTCCAGTATGAGTAATTATTAATACATCGAATGACCCTATGTCCAAATAAGGTTATATTCTGAGGTTGTGGAGGTTAGGACTTTCACATATTTTGAGGGGATACAACTCAACCCATAACAAGATTATTTCCAGTTTTGAGCAATTATGCATAAAGTACGATCACACACACACACACACACACACACACACCCCCCCACACACACAGAAGAAAAGGATCATGTCACCTGAAAAAAACTACGGTAGCAGTTTAAAAGTGCGAAATGAGTTAGAGTGAAAAATAATAATAACCACTATTTATTAAGCTATTAAATGCCTAACACAGTACTGGACACTTTACAGTGTCTCTATTCCTTCAAATAAGCCCTTCAAGGTAGTTATTGTTCCCATTGTACTAATGCATTTAAGGAATTTGCCTAAGGCAGCACATAGGTCAGGAATGAAGAAGTGACATACAGACTAGGCTCTATTTTCCTGCATTTCTTTTGAAACAAAAGTAAGTAGATTGAAAGAAGGAGGTTTTTTTTTTTTTTTTTTTTTTGAGACAGAGTTTCGCTCTTGTTGCCCAGGCTGGAGTGCTGTAGCGCGATCTTGGCTTACTACAACCTCCACCTTCCAGATTCAAGTGATTCTTCTGCCTCAACCTCCAAGTAACTGGGATTACCACGCCCGGGTAATTTCTGTTTTGTTTTGAGATGGAGTCTCGCTGTGTCACCCAGACTGGACTGCAGTGGTGCAATCTCGACCCACTGCAATCTCCGCCTCCCGGGTTCAAGCGATTCTCCTGCCTCAGCCTCCCGAGTAGCTGGGACTACAGGCGCGTGCCACCACGCCCGGCTAATTTTTTGTGTTTTTAGTAGAGACGGGGTTTCACCGTGTAAGCAAGGGTGGTCTCGATCTCCTGACCTCGTGATCTGCCCGCCTTAGCCTCCCAAAGTGTTGGAATTACAGGCGTGAGCCACCGTGCCCGGGCTAATTTTTGTATTTTTAATAGAGACAGGGTTTTCACCATGTTGCCCAGGCTGGTCTCAAACTCCTGAGCTCAAACGATCTGCCTACCTTGGCCTCCCAAAGTAAGTATAGGGGAGTTTTTATTATACTGACACCTGGGTCTCAATTTAAATATGGTAGGTCCAGGAAGCCACATTTTAATTTTTATTTTATTTTATTATTTTTTTTTTTAGATGCAGATTTGCTCTTGTTGCCCAGGCTGGAGTGCAATGGCACGATCTCCACTCACTGCAACGTCCGCCTCCTGGGTTGAAGCGATTCTCCTGCCTCAGACTCCAGAGTAGCTGGGATTACAGGCATGCAGCACCACACCTGGCTACTTTTGTATTTTTAGTAGAGACAGGGTTTCTCCATGTTGGTCAGGCTGGTCTCGAACTCCTGACCTCAGGTGTTCTGCCTGCCTCTGCCTCCCAAAGTGCTAGGATTACAGGCATGAGCCACCGCACCTGGATGAAGCTGCATTTTGCACAAGCATCTCAGATGATTCTGATGAAGGCTGAGAAACTTCGACCAAGCAGTTGTTAATACTAAAAGTATTTCATAACTTCTCACCTTTGCCCTTCTTTTTTGAATTATTTATTCATATCCTTAGACATTTTATTTCCACTGAGCTCATTCTTCTGCAGAACCTAGACATTTTCCTTTCAGAGTGTAAATCTTTTATTTCTTTTCAACTGTAAAAACTGAAATATAGAATAAGGATATTTAGTTTTTCTGGTCAAATATATTTCATTTATTTTTCCCAGTTTATTGTGTGTCATTTGTCCATGGTGTTTGTTTGTGATTC